GCTCCTTACCAGCTTTCGCGGAGCGAAGGCTAGCTCTCACCATAAGCGCGGTGGCTATACATCCCTGCCATGGAACTGGTATATACACACGTATATACGCAGGTGTACACAAGTACTTATACATGTGTACTTATACAGCACATCGCCGTCTATCTAGCCCACGCGATCGACCTGGCGATATTAGCCAGCGCATAAAACGCATTTGCGATCACGGCGGGAATGTAAACGGCGCGCACTTCGGCATACGCGTTCCCGCCGTGGACCAGCCGCGGATTATCAGTGGTAAAGTATCTCGTTCGAGGCTCGAGGCTGAACAAGACATGTCCGGGGCGATATAGGATGCAATAAGCGCCGTTTGCCGTCTGCAACGGAATGAGCCAATTGCCAATTCCATATGGTTGCGCTGTACATAGGTATATAGTTATAATGAGTAGCGAACAGATCGGAGAAGCAGAAGGAGAAAGAGAGAGAATCTCAAATCTAATATTAGGTGCACGTGCATAACGACGTACTTTGCTCGGCTATTCGAATAGTCGCGCTTGCATAATCCTCGCGACAGAAGCCGGTAATACGTCAGCTGCCGAATCGTAAAATATGATCGTATAACGTGAGGGCGATTAAAACATTCGGATATTTAGCGATGGTTTTACATTCGCTGTTAACGCGATGTATTTGCGATAGATTCTTTCAAATGTGAAGAAGCAAAAAAGAAAAATTAATGAGTGATGCGAAATTCCTCTTCTTTGTTTCGAATTTCTAGATTATACGTAAGCTGTGACTTAGATAGACATAGATATCGTAATAAAGATATCATTGACATAATAATGATATCATTAGACATCATGAATATGTCACTTAAAAATGAACTTATAAGTACCTAAAAAACACGTCAAATTAAGAGAAAGTAAAAATGATTTTTGGTTACAAAATTTGATTGTTTATTGACGTTAAGAATAAAAATAAAGTTTAAATAATTTTGATTTTTTATTTATGTGTTCTTAGGCAAATGACAGATAAGATCATGATAATGTTTTTATTATATTATCATGTGACTTCTGCCTTCTACTTGAGACATGACTTTTAAGCGCCGAGTTCAAAATGAAGCTTAATGAATTGCTTATGTTCGTGTTCCTCGCTTGCTATATAATTGACGTTATCTCAAGTTTTTTTAATTGCGAATTTATCTGAGATGGGACAAATAAAATGTCAACTCGCGTTGCCGATCGCGATCCTGGAGTGCAATCACGAAAAGTCGCAAGAGGAAAAAGAGAAGTAAAATTCGTTTAAGGATCTCGGGGCAGATTATCGAGTCGTCGATATAGGTAGGTCGTTAATTGTATTCACTAGATAAGATAGCGCGAGAGAGCATTCGAAGGTCCAAGTCGCGACAAACTGTTCCCCCGAGGGGAAGCAATAGGCTCTAGATTTTCACGGAGCGCGTCAAGACGACGACTCGAGCCCTCTTAACGAAGCTGGAAGCTAAGGACGGAGTCCAAGTGTACACACACTTGAGATGCACGTACGCAGAGGAAAACGAAGAGTCTACCGAGAGAATGGCCGAAAGGAACGACGCAGGGCAAAGAGGAGGACAGGGAATGCAGAAGAAGCTCCGTGAACAGCAGAAAAGAGAGGAAGAAAGATGAAAGAAAGAGGAAGGCCAGAGGAAAGGCGGTGAAGATCGGAGAACTGGACACGAAGCATGCGAGTACAGTGGGACCGGTCAACGATTGTCAATACAGTCTTGCACAAGGATACGACTTATGCTAGAACAATTCAATAGGAGAAAAACCAGTCAACTATAGAAAAACAAACTTCGAGAAAGAGGATCTTTCTGCCTTTTAGTGTACGATGGAACTTCGCATAATCGAAGGATCTGTGATACAACATGTATACGAAGGTACGTTGTTTTGTATAAAAACTGATTGTATAAAATCGATGGAAATACAAAGTGTTTTAAAATAAATTTTAGACGTCTTAAAATGGATTTTATCGACCGATCTGGATTATTGAAAAATATTGCTTACGAAAATGTACAGAAATACTATAGTTTATTATATAGTTATATAATACTATAATTTATTATATTGTAAATTTCCATAGTTTTCGTATGCGATACATTTTTCAAGAATTATGTTTCCTTGTTCGATTACGAATTAATTTTATGATATTTTTCAAAGACAAAACAGAGTGAAGTGTTTGATAAAGAATTACTTGAAGCGCTATTTGATAAAACCGATCGAACGAGCGAAAGCGACCGAAGTGAATGGAGAATACTTGGGAAGATTGCAACGACGCTGAAGAGTAATTACGTACATTAAGAGAGGGAGAGAGTCCCTTTTTATAGACACGTGAAAGGAACACAAAAGGCTCTCGTCGGACATTGTAATCATTGATTACGCACACTGTACATGCGTAGGTATCCCGCCACTCGTCCATCCAATCGTAACTCATAACTTTTACGATGCTTTCGTGAAGGTACCTTATTAACATTCAGCCGCACTAATTTATCCTCGGGAGAACTGACTTTTAATTGGAAGGTATCGGCGTAACGACGTCGTACCTTCTCGTTTTGAATCATAACGCACGTGACCATAAACAATATCTACATCAGGCACTCACGGATTTTCTAATGGATCAAGTTTACAATACCTATTAATATTAATGATAATGGTATAATTAATTACTAATGATAATTCGATAATAATGATGAACCAAATTAGATAAGATTTGCCAGTTGATCATGAAAGTAATGATAAGTTATAATTATGAATAGTGATGAATAGTGATCCGAGCATGTAATCTTTTTTCTAAGTCGAAATCGTAATAATTTGTTTGCATTTCTTGCTTTTTGCATTTAGCATCTTTGTTTTCTCTCTCTCTACATATTCGAACATATATTTATCTTCTTTTAACAATTTTTGAAAATTTCAAGCCGTATGAAAATTCAAACCTTATGAAAAATAAAAATTTTTGGAAACATGAATTTTATTTGGAAGGGAAGCCAAATTAAAGTCGAGACTTTTTGAGGGGGAGGGTAATCGAGTGATAAATTATTGGATTTGTTTTGTTTTATATTAATTATTTTTAATTAATTACTGCAAATAAATTACAAAATCATACACATATTTAATTTATTAATATACTTTATTTTTTTCGTAAAATTGTAAACCGATTCTTCAAATTGGAAAAATTTAAATTTATAATACAGCTGTTTTGAAGTTTCAGAATATTTCTATAAATCTTCCAATTCTTTCTTCTTTTTTAAAATTAATTTCTTGAATATCCATTATAGTCCGTTTAAGCGATTTTAATCCGGCGATTTTAATCCACGGACTCAACTTTTTAGCTACATTACGCCCATAATTAGAAGATATTGAAACAAATGTTGAAAGAAATTATTGAAAGAAATTTTTTATGTTTTCGTCTTAGAAAAAAAAATTACATTATCTTTCACAATCAACCAGCGAATTAAATATATTTAATTCAGTTCGTTCTTTTATTATTTTCAATGGAAAAATTTTACATGATCCAAGAAACACCGAAAAAGTTATCAAAATGACTTTTTTTTAATGCCAAAATGATGATTTTTATTACAAAATACGACGTTAAGAATTAAAATAAAAAGGAAAGATTATCAACGTTGACATCAAGTCTTTCCTTTTTCCTCCTCGCGTAATCGCGAGAGTTCAGAATAATCGCGATCCGATCTAAGGTAATGGAGTATACAGCCGTTGTCCATCATCGTCGTATTACGAAGTCCGGATTGCAAGCCATGCCATCGTTATACTGCCGCGTTTCTAAACGTTCTACAAAATGATCCTGCGGTGATTATACCTCCGAGGCCAGTTCAATGCCAGTTCGTCATAGCCCCGCCGGGCTCCCACACAAGGAGAAACGCATAATCGTCGATGATGCGTCGCGCGAAATATTTTACTCGGCGAATATTTTCATGCGAATATTTTCACTGCACGCAGCAGTGCATGATCGTAAAACGCGACAATTTTAAAATGCTTTTCACCTCGTTTAAAAGGCATCATCGCAGCGAGTATGTTGCAACGCGATATTATTCACCCGATAACGACCGTCATTAAACACAATAATCTCGATACTCTTAGCGAGAGATTAAGTTCCTCTTCTTTTTGCGTCGCGCGATCATACTAATTTTCCGATTGTCCAAAGATACACTGAGAAAAAAATAGCCTAAATTTAAGTAAATATTTATTTGAATACTGCCAACTAAACATTTACTTACAATAAATAAATATTTACTAATAAAAAGAAGTGATTGTTAAATCAAATTAATGTTTTTTGTGCCGAATAAATATTATTTTTCCATTTAATAAATATTTATTAGGTGTGGGAAAAAGCTGATACTATTGAAATAAATATTTATTGAAATTTAGAATATTTTTTTCTCAGTGTACGAATCATCTCTTGAAGTGCTACTCTTATTTATAATGTTCATGTTTTTATAATTTTATAATTTTATCACGTCAATAAATCTTATTATTACTATTATTATTAATTTTATTACTATTATTATTAATTTTATTACTATTATTATTAATTTTATTGCAAAAAAGATTGAGCAAGAGCGAGAAGAAAAATTCAGTTTGAAAATATATTTTTCCTAAGAAGATAAAAATGCAATCATCTTGTTTAAAAAAATTATTGGACAAAACTCAAGATATTATAGGAATAAACGGTGTTCTAATATCAGATATTTTATGCGGATTGTTCGATCTCTATCGATGATCATTCGTGGAAAATCATGTTCCGTGAGAAATGGTTTCTACAATCTAAGGAAGTGAGATCAATGAAGCTTCCTGGAGCGTGCCTATTGTTCGTGACGGTCGCAAAGTAGAGCAAAGTCGAAGTATAACGGAATGGTCATTTGCGAGATGAACTCCAGGCGAATCGTGGCGAGCCGTTAAAAGGGGGGCTCGTCTATTAATCCGACGAGACATCGGTAAATCATTGCCGGTCCAGCGACTATCAGGCGGAAATTCTCGACACGGTTTAGTATCTCGAGTCGATTCCACAGTCGATCTCTCTCTCTCTATCTCTCTCTCTCTCTCTCTCTCTCTCTCTCTCTCTCTCTCTCTCTCTCT